CGGGCTCCCCGTTGACGCCAGGCCCGCCCGGAGGGCCCATGTCGCCCTTCTCGCCCGGCGCGCCCGGCAGGCCGTCAAGGCCGGGTTTTCCAACGCCGACAGGCCCTGGGGGCCCTGCAGGGCCGGGAGGGCCCCCGTTCCCCCGCGGTCCCGGTAACCCTGGTTTCCCCACGCCGTTTTCACCCTTCATCCCGCGCTCTCCGCGGGGTCCTGGCTCTCCTTTCGGACCAGGCTCTCCCCGGAAGCCGGGCAGGCCAGGGCCGCCCTGCGGGCCCGGCTTCCCGTTGACTGAGATGCCGGCGGGCCCCGGCAGTCCCGGGGGGCCGGGCAGTCCTCTTGGCCCTTGCTCTCCTCTCATGCCAGGCTCGCCCTTGGCTCCGGGCATCCCTTTCATGCCCGCCTTCCCGGGGAGTCCTGGGATGCCAGGTTTCCCGATGCCCGAGAAGCCGGGGGGCCCGGCAGGCCCAGGCTGGCCGTGCATTCCCGGTTTTCCTGTGCCTGGCTTCCCTGGGTAGCCGGGGGGCCCAGGGGGTCCGCGTGGGCCGGGCTTTCCTGGCGGTCCTGGCTCCCCTTTGAGGTCCATCGGCAGCAGCGGTGGCATGTCTGTGGAGAGAGGAGACACGGAGCTTTACTGGGGCCGGTGGTGGCCGGCAGAGCGAGCCTGGCGCGTGATGCCCTCAGGGCGTTAAAGCCAGGGCCTTCAGCACTCCCTGGCTCTGGACTCACAAGAGCGCCCTTCTCTAGAAATGGTTTTAGTGAAACAGCCACAGTGGCTTCCTGGGCCACCACATCAGCAGGACTGGTTTTAGGCAAGACCTTGGCCAGAGCCCAGGGTATTAATCCAAGCCTTACTCCATCCATCCCTCCACAGAGGGTGTCAACAAGACCAGCGACTGCCGTTCGGCCCTGGCGGTGGTGTTTTGTCATGACCTACTGCAGGGGGAGGTTTTAGGAGCTGGATTCAAACCTCCCAGCAGCCACGAAAGCACCGTGGGATTCAGTCGCTCCTGCCTGGGCTCAGCTGAGAGGATGGCGACAGAGCGAGCCAAGACTGAGGATAATCTCTCCACCCCATCCCTCGAGTCCAGGGCCTCGGGAGACCTTTAATCCTTTTGGATTAAAAAGAAAACTCTTGGACTTGTACTTGAGGGACCGAAGAGGTGACTGGTGTATGGGTTAAGACATGCCCACGGTGCTGGCTGGCTCAGCTCCCGAGTCCAGCAAGGCAGAGAAAAACTCACCAAAAAGAAAAAGAAAAAAAATAAGCGCTGAGGGTGGAGGAAAAGCCAATAGCTGCAAGGGAAACGCAACCTCAGTTACGTTCAAATGAGTCAGCCCAGCTGGGAATAGGCCGTAACCACTTGACATTTAAAGAATTTATAGAGGTCTTTTGCAAACGGATATAAGAAAGAAACTAATGGGCTGAGAGACTACAAAGCCGAGGAGAGCCAGATTACATGCCCACCGCAGCTCGGTACTTAAAGCACAGACGTGAGCATAAATAACTCCTTGAGGCAGGCCCAGGCAGGGTGTTGCTTCCCACGTGACACCGGGAAGTGGGTGAGAAAGAATAAATCAGACAAACTCTTTTTTTGGGAAGCTTGAAATGAAGGAAATACTTGGCAGTTGCACAGAGATGGGACTGCGATGAGAAATACGAAGGGTGGAGGAAAGGGCCTTGACGTCTTGGGCAAACTTGAACCAAATCTGCCCAAGGTAGATCGTTCCAGTTGGGAAAAGATCCGCACGGGCAAGTTCCTGGGCTGGGGATGGATCCTGTCTGGGAGCAGAACACGGGGCTCGGCGGGCTGAGCCGGGCCTCGGGAGCACGGACACCCGCAGCGCCAGGATCCGCCACCGCAGAGATTTTTCTCAGTCAACGGGAAAAGATTAGGGGAGATTTGAGACACGTGAAAAGAATAACCGTGGCGGCGGCCGGCACCGTTCCCGGTGCATCGGAGGTGGCTTTACCTTTCCTAAGCACAGCAATTAGCCCTGGCCATTCCCAGGCCTGGTGCCTGCTTGTTTTTCTTTTGGCAATGGAAACATTTTGAGAGCTTATCTATATATCAAAGCCTGGCCCACGTCCTAGGCTGCAGCAGAGGTCACTTGGCTGTCTTGACAAAGGAAATACTTGTCTGTCATGACACCGCCACTGGATTTCTGCAAACCTCCTGCTCCTCACCCCAGAAAACGGTGTGGGAAAGAAAGGCAAGGGAGATGTGAAGTGTTGCACTAAAGCAGATTTCTGGGGTTTGAATTCTGGAAAAAATTCTCTCCGGAAAATTATTTCAATGTGTTTTCTCCCCTAACCACCACCCGCCCCACCCCACCCCCCCTTTTTTTTTTTT